GGGCCCTCCCTGCCAGGCCCCAGCACCTCGTGGGGCGCCCCACGGAGCACGCTGGCCGAGTGGTAGGTCTCGCTCCACTGCCGCAGCTGGTCGGCCTGCTCCTGCTCCTCCTCGGTCAGATAGAGGGACTTGGGGACCAGTCCTCCTTCAGGGACATTACACTGGGGGTCACAGACAAAATGGGTGGCAGGTCAGGGTCCTGGAGGTTGGCCGCCCTGAGCCACGGAGTCCTGTGAGCCCCGAGACGGCCTAGAACAGTGACCCCCGCTGAGCTGGACGGTGGCTCCCGTGACCCCGTTTGCCCCCCAGAACCCCCGCAGGGTAGGGACGGTTTTCCCGCGTCACAGAGGAGGGAAATGGCAGCTCAGAGAGGGAAGACCAGTTGTCCAAGATCTCAGAGCACAGGGTGCTGCTCAGGGCACAGGGCTCGCTCCTGAGAGTCACGCTCAGATCCCCCCCGGCTGGCGGGGATCGGGGACCCTCCCCCAGCACCCCTTCAGCTGTCAGGTGGACCCATCAAGGTACGGTGGGTTCTGAAGATTCCCAAAGCCAAAGGCCCCCGGGCGGCTGGGCCTCGGCAGACCCTCTGCCATCCCAAACCGTGATGCCCATCTCACATGCCCAAAGCCAGGGGAGGCCACAGCAGGAGGCGGGGTCAGGGGGGTCAGGCGGGGTCAGGCGGGGTCAGGCAGGCCTCCTGTGCGCTGCTGGGTGAACAGAGAGCGCGAGCCCGCCCGGCTGCAGGAAGGGGCTGGGACTCGGGGTCTCCCTGCCCGTCAGCCCACCACAGGGGGGCAGCAGCCTGGTCAGGGCAGGTCTGGGAGGGCCAGGGCCAGGGCCAGGGCCGTGGGCACCGGGCACCACTGCCCTGCGTGGAAGGGCTCGGAGGAGCACGGCTGCTGAGCAACCTCTGGGGACACGGAGGGTCTGGGGACTTGGCCTGGTCCCTGGGCTTCTGGAAGATGCTGCCTCACTGTGTGAAACAGCCAGAGGCAGGCGTCGCCTCTCTGGGGCAGCTTCTGAAACGCCCCGTGCCCACTCGGCAGCCTGGCTTCCAGGGGACAGCACGGCGGCCGCCCAGGGGCCCTTCCCCCCCAGCCAGGACTCCTGGCCTCCCGGGCCACTGCCCTCACCCTGCAGCCCAGCCCAGGCCACCGGCCTCACCACACTCTCTCCCCCCAGGAAGTCGGGGATCACTTCCTTGTCCAGGTAGTCCACCAGGCCCCCCGGGCCCTGGTAGTTGCTGCCGCTGTAGATGAGGAACTTCTGCCTGGTGTTCTCGTTGATAAAGGGGCTGACCTGCAGTGGGGGTGAGGCAGAGGGCATGGATTGATCAATTATTGGTACTGGGAACTGAACACCGAGGCTCTCAGCCACTGACCCGCACCCCGGCCCATTTTAGTTTTCATCTTGAGACAGGGACTCCCTAGATTGCTCGGCTGGCCTCAAACTTTCCGTCCTCCTGCCTCAGCCTCCTGAGTATCTGGGATCACAGAGGAGCACAGCACACCCGCTCGACTAGCCTGTTTTCAGTGGAAAAGAACAGAAGAGACTAGTAAAGAAGCTGGTGTAGACACCATTTCACAGGTCTCTTGTTCAGGGTGTGCGTGTGCACATGTGTGTGCACGCATGTGCTCTGGGCTACAATTGTGGGTCCTGGCCAAAAGTTTAAAATCCCAACAGTCCAAGGTCCAAACTGTCCTTGGAATCAGCTCACAGGAGGCCTGGGAACATTGTACAATGCTGAGGGTTGCTGTCCCATTAAAGAAATAGGCAAGGGATATACAAATGTGCTCCATCCACATGCTGGAATATTATTCAGCTGTAGAAAGGAATGGAGAGCCAGGGCGGGCTGCACCGCGGCTGGACTCCACAACACTGTGCTCAGTGAAGGAAGCCGGACAGCAAGCGCCTCACAGTGGATGAGCCTGTTGACATGAAGCTCCCAACAGGCAAATCCCACAGGGACGGCAGGCGGAGGGTGACCCCCAGGGCCAGGAGGAGAAATGGGCAGGGGGGTTCCAGGAAACGTTCTGGGACTGGGCGGGGTAGCAGTTGTATAATTCTGTGAATATAATGAAACTGCTGAATCCTGTACTTTAAGAGGGCGAAGGCTGTGGCATAGGAGTCTTATCTGGATAAAGCTGCCATTTACAAAAGTTCAAACAGGGCCACTCAGTGGGAGGAGCAGAGGAATCCTCCCATCTCGGCCTCCCATCCCGGCCTCCCATCCCAGCGTCCCTGGGGGGGCCTGACCAGGCTCCTGCTCTTACCAGCGTCCAGAGCACGGGAAAGACTCGGGGCGCTCGCACGATGAGCAGCCGGCCCAGGGTCTCAGGGTAGTTATCCTCGACGACCTCGATCATGCGCAGCAGGGCCTTCACCCCTGGCCGCCAGAGGTGCCGCATGTTGAGACCCTCCAGGTCCAGCAGGCAGGTCCAGGAGCTGTGGTGGACACGCACCCCTCACTCCACCTGGCTCTGCCTCGTCGCAGGATGGACAGGGAGGCGGGTGCGAGCAGAGGGGCCGCCGGACACTTCTGCGGATCCCTCCGCGGTAGGGAGGCTGCGTGCTGAAGAGGCCCAGAGCCTGGATGCCCAGGCTGAGCCCCGGAGCCCAGGCCTCCCCTCCACCTGTTGAGCCGTGAGACTGGGCAGGGACCTGCGGCTCACGGAGTCAGCAAAGGTGGTCAGCTCTAAATGAGGTGGGGGCTGGAGCGCTCTCTGCAGGAGCTCTCGTCCCTACTAGTTGAGAGAAGATGCTCTCCACTACATACAGCCCACCCGGCTCTGGAAGCTTGCCCTGCAGCGTCGGGTGGCCCAGGCTCAGATCCCTGCTCTGCCACTTGCTGTGTGGCCTGGGCCAAGTTCTTAACCCCTCTGTGCCTCCATTCCATCAGTAGTGAGTCATTAGGAAAATGACCATCTTACTGCAGTGGCCGGTCCCTGGGAGCCTCTGCATCCTGGATGTCCCTTAGCCCTGCTCACACCTCTGCAAGGGGGTCCTTTATGACACTCCCCGTTCAAACCATCTGGGGTGGACTCTGCCTCCGGCCAGGACCCTGGCTGACTGATTGCCACCCCCACCCGATGTCCCCGTCCTTACAAAATCTCCAGACAGAAAAGGAACTTAATCATCACAAAGAGAAGACTCCTGGGGGTAAAATGTGCAGGTGTCAGGTCCTGTCACTGCTGCCACCAGGAGGGCCGAGGGCTGGGGGGCCGGAGGAGCCCGGGCCACACACAGCTGGCCGCATACACTGGCCCAGGACCTCGGCCCAGGGGTGGGGTCCAGGGAGTGAAGGGGCAGCGGGCCGCTGCTGGGCTTTGTCACCAGGGAGTGGGACTGTCGTGGGACATGGAGGGAGACCTCGGGCCAGAGAGCTGCTCTCAGGATCCAAAGTCGGGAGCCGGACGGGGCCGGACCCAGAGAGGGGCAGGTCGGAGCAGCTCGGCCACCGAGCCCTCCGTGACCCCAGGGAGCACCGCCACCCGGGCTGTCTCCTCTAAAGTCAGGGTGACTGCAGCCCCTCACAAGATCACCGCAGGAGCTAGGTGGGGACGGTGACACTCAGTGCAATGTGTTAGCTGCCCCGTCCACCGGGGAGTCACCAGCCCGGGTCCTTGCCTGATGGGACGGCCAAACTGCTTGGTGTTCCCCTCACACCTCTTCTGTCCTTCCTCGTTGACAGAAAGGACCTGCAGGGAGGACAGCGTGCTGAGCCACCGCTCTGCTGTCCCACCCGCGGGTGGTCCCGGAGCCCGGGCGGGGGGGACACTCACGTGCTGCAGCAGCGCCTCCTCCCCCACCGCCTTCATCAAGCCCTTGGTGTCCATCTGGCCCAGGCGGAGGATGTACAGGGGACGTCCATCTTCGGGGGCAAGCAAAGAGAAGGGACACTGGTGACCCGGGCAGGTCCACGCCTCCGCTGGAGTGCGGCATCCTCAGGGAGGAGACACCGGGCCCGGCACACCCAGGCCCAGTGGGCGCATGTCCTGGCCAGCACCTGCTGCCTCCAGGGGGCGGACCCCCCACCAAAGACCCCAACAACAGGCGTGTTCTAATAAGGACAAGGGACACGCCCGCGAGACACCAGGCGGGGCCTCGGCACATCCCGCTCCATGTTGGCGGCCCTTTGCCAACTGAAGCCTTTCTCCCGCCTCTCGTTTGCTCAGAACAAGACGCGAGCCACCCCAGGAGGGGACACTGAGCCCCAAGAACACTGAGCCCTGAGCACACGCTCTTCAGCCTCAGAAGAAAGCCACGGAGGGGGACCTGCCAACACTGGCAGTGCCGTCACTCATGTCACCTACAAAGTCCCAGAACACGATCGGCCGCGTCCAGGCAGGAGCGGGCCAGGCGGCGGGAGCCTGAAGACTCGGCCCTTCTGTCCACATCAGCGGCCTGGGGTGGGGGGCCTGTTCAAGGACACTCCCCACGTCCCCGTTGGTTCCATTGGGCACTTAGCAGAACCAACTCCTGCAGCAGAGCTGGGCCATTTCCACGGGGGCCTAACAAGACTCCAGAGGCTCTGCTCAGCCCTACTCTCTCCAGAGAACAGAACTCTGCGCGCACCACGTCCATTTCAGCTACCTAGTGCTGTCCTCATTACTGACAGGTGTCCTGTGTAGGACGATGGGACTCGATGGGTTGATGTCATCAGCACTGAACCCAAGGCCACGGGCACACAGGAGCCCACAGCCCCGGGATCCTCCCCGACTGCACCACAGGACCCTGTGCTCTGGGCCACCCAAGGGCAGCACGGCCCTCTGGCCCCACGAACAGCAAAGTTGCCCATGAAAAATCCAAAACTGCAAAATCACTGCCCTCTAGAAGCCACCTAACGGCTCATGTGTCGCACAAGTGCCAGACCCTGGAGGCTGCACCGCCTTGTTCAGCACCAGCCGGGACGTGCACACCCGGCCACCCAAAACTTTCACCCCTCTGAATGTGTCCTTGGATGACCTTGACAGGGCTGCCACGGAGCTGTGACTGTTGATTTGGAGGTTATAAATACATTTGAGCAAGCAGGGGGATCCATGAATACCGAGGACTGCGTTAAGACACTGTGCCAACCAGTGTGCCAACCGGGGCTCAAGAGAGCCCGGCATTTCCCCTAAACAGCATACATGAGTTTTTAGGTAAAGGACCGTGAAAAGCCCAGTAGTTGTTGGCTTTAATTTTTAAAAAAATCTATGGGCTGGGGATGTGGCTCAAGCGGTAGCGCGCTCGCCTGGCATGCGTGCGGCCCGGGTTCGATCCTCAGCACCACATACAAACAAAGATGCTGTGTCCACCAAGAACTAAAAAATAAATATTAAAATTCTCAAAATAAATAAATAAATAAATCTAGACACAATATCTGTGGCAGGTGGAATGTCATCTACACACACACACACACACACACACACTCTCACACTCACACACAAAACCCAAAGTGTGACCCTTATTTGAAAACAGTCTTTGCAGACGCATTTAGTTAAGGACATCAAGAGGAAGCCTTGGCCCCCTGACCAGGTTGGGGGCACAGGGCCTAGGATCCCAGTGGCTCGGGTAGACGGAGGCAGGAGGGTGGCAAGCTCAAGGCCACCTCAGCAACGTAGTGAGACCCTGCCTCAAAATAAAAAAGAGCTGGGGATGTGGCTCAGTTATAGAGCACCCCTGGGTTCAACCCCCAATACCAAAAAAGGGGGGGAAATCATTCTGGATCTGGGGTGGGCTCTACATTCAGCCCCTGGGGTCCTTAGAGGAGAAGACAGGACACAGAGAGATGCCAAGATGCCACCGAAGACAGGCAGAAATTGGAGGGGTGTGGCCACAAGCCAAGGAGCCCAGGGCCCCCGGAGGCTGGGACAGGCAGGGGCGGACCCTCCCCTGTAGCCTTGGGGGAACGCGGCCCTGCCGACACCTTGACTCCAGACTCTCAGCCTCAGAACTTCCAGAGAACACATTTCTGCTGTCTTCGCCACCAGGTTTGTGGCCGTCTTCTGCGGCTGCCCTAAGAAGCCCGTGGGACATTCCTACAACCATCACCTACACCCTCGGGGACCCCAGCAAAGGGGGACCAACAGCCTGGGGCAGGCCCCAAACTATCCCATCTCCGCCTTCTTCCCAGCTGGGTGTCACACCAGAGGCCTCCAAGAGCCCAAGGGAAAACCAGATGTTGGCACCCGGCAGGTTCCTCCAAGTGCCTTGGCAGCCCCCTGACCCTCACCTATGTCCTGGTAGTGCCAGCCTCCCGCGTAGAACTCCTCCAGCAGGGCGGGGGGCCGCCAGGTCTGCAGGAGCACGTCCACCTGGTGCTGCTTCCGCCAGCTCAAGGACTGGCACAGCATCTCCCGGGCCTTGTCCAGGTGGAAGTCGCGGGCGCGCAGGAAGCGCAGGATGTGTTCATCTTTGGGAATCTGAGACACAGAGAAAGAGAGCGGAGAAGGACACCCTGCCCACAGGTCAGGTACCAGAAGGAGCCCCTGGCTCACCTGCAGAGCGTCCCCAACCCTGAGGGAGAGCCCGGGCTCAGGACCCTCTGCACTCGGCTGCTCTCACCCCTCCCTGCTCCTGCTGGGACCTGGGTCTCTCTTGGGGGCAACTGGTCCTCCTTCACGCCCCCCCCCCCAGTGAGCCAGTCCTGCAAGAGCAGCCCCAGGAGCTGCCCTCTCTCCAGCAGGGGGAGCAGGGTGTGGGCTGGCCAAGAGGCTCAGTAGGGCTCCTGGAGGTATAAAGTGACACCATCCCGCACTAAAGTCACACCCCGCCTGTCCCCTAAGGTGGAGGAGAGAAAGACCAGCCACTCAGCTGGCAGCCGCAGCAGGAAGTTCTTACTCAACAGAGCTGAGGACAAAGTCCCCGTGGGACCCTCGTGCATCCTTGTTCCGGGGGTGACAAGGCAAAACCCACCCACGGGCAGTCAACACGCACCTTCACAGGGTCTCCAAGTCCCACAGGAAAGGACAGAAGGGTATCAGGAATGTGGTGCTATGCAGCAGTGTCTCCACTGGGGGGTCACCATGCCCCCGGGGACACATGACATCTCGGAAGCTGTCCAAGGTTGTCATAACTGGGGGCGGGGCGTGGGGGAGTCGCTAATGACATCTATTTGCTGAGGCCAGGGATAGTGGGAGGTCTTCCCGTTGCTGATCACGTGAACTGCCCTGTCCGCCCCCAGGCCCACCCACCTTGCCTCTGTGGGTCTCCTGCAACCAGTGCCGCAGCTGGATCAGGCAGCTCTCCTGCATGGGCGTGAGCTGGCCCAGGCACCTCTGGATGTAGTCTGCGTCCAGCTTGTCCCCTTGGAGGAGGAGGACGGGGTCTTCAGGACAAGGGAGACCCTGCGTCCCTCGCCCCGTGGCTGCCCTTTCTCTGCCCTCCTGTGCTACTGGCCACCTCTGCTATGGAACATGGTTCCAAGCCAGGCTAGGGCTCTGGCTCCAAACACAGCCCCGCAGGCCCCAAAGTCCTTCATTTTTCCCACCCGGGTCCAGGTGGTTCTGAAAGCTTAGTCCAGGATGATCCCCACCCTCCAGGGTGGCCGAGCCATGTGTGGGGGCCTGGGGACCACGTGGATCAGCCTGCTGGGCAACCCATCAGCCCATGGCCAGCACACAGAGCCTGGCTCAGTCCAGGTCCGGTGCCCGGCTCCTAGCCACTATGCAGCAGAGGTGGGTGCCCACGGCCTCCTGGTATCTCAGCCAAGCAGCAGCCTGTGGGCACCGCCACTTCTCTGTGGACAGATGGCACAGTGAGAAAGCAAACTGAATGCCCACCCAGCAAAACCTCTCAGCCGTTCCCCAAACAAACCCTGGGCACGGGGGTCACGCCGGCTGTGCGAGGAGGCATCTGGGTAAACCACAGGAGGGATGGGGGCTGAACTCATGTGGGCAACGGCAGCAAAGGGGCAGCGGAAGACATGAGGCAGGCGGGGCCCCACGTCCTTCCAGCCCCAGGCAGATGTGAGGCCCTTCTCTCCCTCTGAGCACAAAGGCCCAGTGATTCAGAACAGGGTGGAAGGGCCTGACGTTGCCCTCTGCCAGCCACCCTGAGTGCCAGTGTGCTGGTGGACAGGACAGATGAGAGTGGAGGCCAGGCCTGGGTGGACAGGCAAGGTACAGGGCACAAACCACAGAGCACACACAGGAGGGTGTAAAAATATAAAAGGGCACGTACAACAGCAGCCAGCCAGTGCACACAGTCGGTGCAGAATAAATTCTTGTTGCATGAATGGATTTTGTTCCCTCTAAACACAGCTCGAGACGTAGTATTAATTCACGGTATTGTCACTCAAGTATCTTGGAATCAGGCAGGCCTCCACGTGTCAGTGGCCCAAAAGGAAATTGGACTCCGTGTTTGTACTGTTCTGTACACCGGTTTGTTAGAATTTTTCTTTTCTTTTTAATTTGCCTTCACATTCTATTGTGAACAATTTCCACATGAATAGAAGACTTCGACAAAGGGCTAATTGCTGTAATATACAAAGAGCTCTTACAAACCAATAAGAATTCAAGAACAGGAATTAACCAAAGAAAGGAAAATAGTCACTAAACATGAAAACAATACTTGACCTCAATCATGATAAAAGAATGCATCACTAATCTACAAATGATCATTCTTATTGCCTTTCAGAAGTTTGAAATATTTAGTAAGATTCTGGTGGAAAGTCAGGGTGAGTAGACACAGCTTCACACTTTAGGTGGGAGTGATGATCATCAGCCTCTTCAGAGGCCTAATTGGTAAATGTACCTAAACCTCAGTGGCACAAAACCTCCCAGTAACTTCACGTTTTAAATGTCATGCTCTGTATGTTTCTACAAAAATTTTTAAATGCTTATGTAGAAACTGGATCCACTGGCGCCTGCCTGCAATCCCAGCTACTCAGGGGGTTGAGGCAGGAGGATTGCAAATTCCAGGACAGCCTGGGAAACTTAGTGAGGCCCTGTCTCAAAATAAGAAATAAAATGGGCGGGAGAGGTAGCTAGTGGCAGAGTGCTCCACCCCCAATTCCATCCCTAGTAACACCCCCCCCCCAGGTTTTTTAAATGAAAAAAGTAAAATCTCTTAAGTCCAAAGATGTATGGCACATTCTTTGTATATTTTTAATTTTTACTATTTGTGTCTATGTGTGTGTGTGTGTGTGTGTGTGTGTGTGTGAGATGCTGGGGATCAAACTTGGGGCCTAGCAAACCCAGGAGGGCCTCACGCACACTAGGCAGGTGCCCTACCACTGAGCTGCCTCCCAGGTCTTTTTATGCGATTTTGAGACAGGGTCTCACTGCGTTGCTTAGGGCTTCACCAAGCTGCCGGGGCTGGCCTGGAACGTGGGGTCCTCCTCCCAAGGCTGTGATCCTCCGCCTCTCCCCCAGTTGCTGGGATCACAGGTGAGCACCACCACACCCAGATCACTATTTGTATTCTTTAAAAAAAAACTGAAACAACCTAGATGTCCATCCATAGGGGACCATCTAATTAGGCCAAATTAAAATAGCAAATAGTAAATGTTTATTAACAAGTTACGGAACCACATTACGACACCGTGAACTATTAAGGTCTTCCCGCTGATGTGAAAAGTAACCAGCCACATCCAGCGCAGATGAGAAACATCAAAACATCAAGGGGAATGCAGAATGCGCCCAACGAGTTAAGTTCGGCGTGTTACACAGGCATGGGCAACGGTGCCCACGTGTGTGCGGGTGTCCACCATCACGAAGGTCCCCACACCTACCTCAGCAGCTCGCCAAATAGAAACCCAGGCCTCCGCTCGGCCTCCAGGGAGCAGGAAGGCATAATTCCTACTGCCCATCTTCTGAGGAGTCTTAATTTTTTCTACCATGATCAGGCATTACTCGGGTAATTTAAAATAGTAATAAAACCAGAATCGCAGGCAGCGCTGCGCGCCCGGGTCAGCCGAGGGGCGGAGCCGGGGGCGGAGCTGGGGGTGGAGGGGGCGCAGAGGAGGAGTCGGCGGTCACGCAGGACCCAGACCCTCCGCGCTGCTCCTCCCTCTTCCTCCTACCCGGCGGGGCGCTTCCCAGCACCGGGGCCAGGGCGGACCAGCGGCCACCTACCGTCAGTTCCCACCGCCTCCGCGGCTGGGCCCAGGGCCCTGAGGGTCCCCTCCGCCTGCTGGGATCCGGGCTGGCTGCGGGCGTCCTCCTCCCGGACCGGGGCGGGCGTCCAGCGGGGGATGTGAGAGGTGCCCTGGGAGATGAGCTCGTTCAGGTAGTGCTCGATCACCTCCTTCCCCTGGAAGCCCGAGAGACCCGAGTCACGGGACGCGACGGCGGGGTCACCGCACTGGCGCCGAGCCACCTGCACCTGGCTGGGTCCCTCTGCGGACAGTGGCCTTCTGGGGGCCGAAACGCGGCAGGTAGGGACGGAGAGGTGCTGCCCGACACCGCGGGGCTTCACCTCTCGGTACGGAGCAGCGGCCCCAACTAGCACGGTTTTATATACCACGCAGATAAAACATATTAACAAAGTTAAGGTCACCTATGTCATCATGTAGTAGGCGATTTCAGGGGTGGGCCTGAGGTCTCCGACCAAGCAGTGACAATTTTAGCCAGGAAGAGGCTCCGCAGAATGTCCCTCCTGTGCGCACTGAGCTCACTGCAGGGGCCCCCATATCCCCGGGTATGGGGACAATGACCAGGGTGTCCTACTGCAGCCAGTTCTCTGTCCATTGTCTCAGTGAGAAGGCCGCAATAGAGCACCCCGTTGGCAGGTGAGAAGACAGGTCCAGGAAGGTTACGGCTCTCCCCAGTGTCACAGGGGTCGCCAGGGGCGGGGTGGGTCTGCGCCTTCCTCCCGGGACCTCCCGGGACCTCTCACCCTCTTGACGTTGGCCGTGTACTGCTTCATAGCGATCTTCTCCAAGGTGTTTTCAAAGCCAAAGAAGGACCGGATGTCCAGCGAGGCCGACTGCTCGAAGCAAGTCCAGTCTTCATTCTCGGGGTGGACCTGGAAGCCAGGCGCGGGAATGCCAGGTCTCACTGTGGGGCGTGCTGGCCTCCCCAGGGGCTCTCCCCAGGCACACCTGCAGTGGACAGCACGTCCCACCTAGCCACACCCAGGGCCCCCTCCCGGAACCATGCAAAGTCTGAGCTGTTAGGGAGCAGAGAGCTGGCTCATGGGGGCCCAGAGAGTATGGTCTGATAGCTGGGCCCCTGCCCTCTAAAAATACACACAGACTATAAAATTATGTGCAAACAGAGCTGGGGATTGAGCACTCACCCAGCACACGTGAGGCCCTGATTCCATCTCCAGCACCTCCAAAAAATTATATGTAAATGATGTTTCGTATAATACATCACTTACATAAGTGTATGAATAAATTATATATCAACATTAAATATGAGTTTAAGATATTTTAAATAGTTACATGTTGTATGTTAGACATTTATATGTATATTTTATATACAAGGATATACTTACTAAGTATCCTTGTATATCCACAGATGCACAGATGTCAATAAAGAAAACACACTGGTGGAGACTACGGGGACCCAGACCTAGTGCTCCGAGAGAGCTCCCCAGGCGGCTGCAGAATGTGCAGGTCCTGGGCTGCCCGACCCAGAGCAGGCCAGGGCTGGGGAATCCACATGCACAGGCAGCCTCCGTCCAGGTGGCCTGCCGTGGCAGAGGTCACTGTGGTTAACAACAACAGGTGCCTACAGGAGCCTCAACTTCCTGGGCCCTGTCTCCAGGAGGTCCCAAGAGGGGCTGGAGGTGCATAAAGGAAAAGCAACAGGCATCTAGTGGGTGCCTGCTCATGTGAAGCACCAAGTGGCAGATGAATGGGCAGCCACTCCCAGCCCAGAACTCTGTTCCCAGCCTTCAGGAGCCTGCTCCTTCCACATTCAGCTCTCAGCCTCGGTGACACCTCCTGAGCAGCCGAGGGACCCTGGGCACCCCTCCTGCCATCTGCTGGAGCCCTTCCTACCAGGGGTCTGGCTTTCTCCCACCTGCAGGGCCCACTGGAGTGGAAGCCGCATGAGGACAGTGAGCTGCAGACCCGTCTACCTCCGGGTGCCAGCACTGGGCAGGGTGCCCGGCACTCCACAGCCGCTCACAGAGTAATACCTATGATTGCTAAAACTGACCATCTTTACATGGGACTCAGCGGTGCCAGGCACTGGTCTGGGAGTTTGGAGAGTGACGATTCACCTGCTGTAGCCCTCACCACCCCTATGTGGTGGGCCACTTACCAACCCCACCCTGCAGACGCAGAAACCGAGGCACAGATCCCTGAATGTTGCCAGTTTTAGGGGATAAAATACAAGACCCCAGTCACCTTGGAATTTCAAGGCCTTGGTGTAAATATATCCCAAACAATACCTGAAGCATACTTACACTGAAGAAAAAAATGGGTTTTTTATCTGAGCTGGACACGCGCCGGGCACCTGTCTTACCTGCCGGCGCGGGGGGGGAGCAGGAGGGGAGGCCGGGAGGCTCACCGAGTAGCTGCAGTTCTCCTTCACCACGACGCGGCTGGCGAAGGTCTCGTTGTGCGCCTCGATGAGGAGCGTCCTCTCCCTCCAGTTCAAGACGTTTTTCTGCACGAAGACCACGTGCTCCACGCCTGCGATCTGCAGGGGGGGACCGGCAGCCCGAGGAGGAGGACGAGAGGAAGAGAGGCGCGAGTCCCGAGTGGCCCACACCACCCAGGCAGCTCCCGGACACCCGGTGCCTGCTCCTAGATCCCTCGACAACCTGGACCTGCGGACCCACCCTGCCGCCCACCCGTCCACCTCCACCAGTCTGGGCCCCACTCTGCACCCTAAGACCACCCCCCACGCAGCCCATACACACCCCCACCCCAGCCCCAGCCGTCCACCTTCCTCAGCAGCCGCGGGGCGTCCACGCGCAGCCGGCAGCTGCGCTCCACCACGTGCACTGCCCCGTCCGCGCTGCGGGACTCGCCCAGGACCTCGCTGCCCAGGAAGACTGGGATCTGCGGGCAGGTGGGGAAGCGCTTCTCGTAGGCCTGGGGACAGAGCAGGGGTCAGGGCCGGGGCCAGCGCATCCCTTGCTGCCCTCGCAGGGCTGTGGTCTCCTTCCTGGGAGGGGGTATCCAGGACAGAGATAGGCACCCCCAGCCGGGAAGGGGCAGCGGTGGCGACTGCGGACACCACCAGCATCTTAACAGACGCCTTCTGGGAGGCGATGGGGACGGACCCAAGCAGTGATTTGGCAAATAGCGTTTGTGGCTTTGCATTGGACCTTTCCCCCTCAGAAAAAAAGGACGGGTCTCCTGGGACATTTTAAAAGAAAGCATTTATCCAAAAAAGCATTTGACAAACTCCAACGCCCATTCACGAGAAAACCACTCCCCACGCGGAAGGGCAGTTCCTCAGCCTAATAACCGACCTCAACAAAAACCCACACCAACACCAACTCAAGGGTGAAAGACCAAGTGCATTCCCCAAATCAGACTCAAGATGTTACACACAGAAAATCCCAAATACACACACAATCGGACTGTAAGTAAGCTGCGCGCGGTGGCAAGGCATAAATAGGAGCGATTTACAAATCAGTTCTGCTGTACACACAGCAGTGCAGTTTACAATAACACCAAAAAGAACCATGACTTAGGAATGCACCCAGGAAAGGGAGTGCAAAACTTATACTCTGAACGTGGCTGAAGGAAAGTAAAGAAGACCTAAATAGATGGAAGGCTGTCCCTGTTCGCGGACTGGAAAGCGTGATCTTGCCAAGACGGCAGGGCTCCCCAAAACGAACCACAAACTCAACGAAACCCAGTCACATCCCAGGTGTTTGTTTGCAGAAATTGACAGACTGAGGCTAAAATCCGTGAGGAAACGCAAAGGACCTAGAAGAGCAGGAAGAATCTTGAAGAAGAGTAAAAGCGGGAGATGCACACTTCCTCGTTTCAAAACCTCTTAGAAGGCCACAGTAATCAAACCAGAATGGTCGTCGCACACGAGGGCAGCCATAGAGATGGAAGGAGTAAAATTGGAATTCCACAAATAAAAATCACACGTACAGTTGATTGACATTTGACCGGGAGTGGAGACAGATCCGTGAGGAAGAAATAGTCTCTTCACAAATGGGTTGAACTTCAACCTCAGGACGCGTACAAAATCCAACTCAAAATGGAGCAAAGGTTTGACTGTAAGAACTCAAACTATAAAACTTACAGGAAAACACGGGAGGGGCTGAGGGTGACATTCAGTGGTACAGCACCCAGCCAGCACGCCCAAACCCGTGGGTTCAATCCTCAGACTTCAAAAATCAACACAAAACACAAAACCCCCAGGAGTAAACCTTTATGACCGTGGATGAGGCAGTCATCTCTTAGCGGTGACATCAAAATCACAAAGGACACCATCAAGGGAAAGAAAAGGTGACTGAGGGATCAGGAGGGAATTTTTGCACGTGTTTAGATCTATTTGTACGTAGACGGTATATATATGACATCTGTATCAAATAGGGGACTTGTATCTGGAATCTACAAAAATCTACTAAAGCTCAATATTGAAGAGATAAATAAATTTAAAAGTGGGCAGAGGATCTGGGCAGACGTTGTCCAGGCACGGTTCACCACCGGTGGCGGAGAGGCACGTGGGAAGGCGTTCAACATGGCCCGTCGTTACAGAAGTGCAAACAACCACAGGGCAATGCCACTTCACGCACACCAGGGTGGCAACAGCAAAAGGGCAGGCGGTAGTGAGCGCTGGGAGACGTGGAGGAGCTGGGCCTCCTGCCTTGCCTGCAGCGGGACCTGCCATGATGCAGCCCCTTGGAAACCAGCCTGGCCTTTCCTCCTACAGCGAACTGTCTGCAACCCAGCGAGCCTGCTCCCAGGCACACACTCAAGACAATGAACACAAATGTGCACACAGAAATGTGTGCATTCGTGTTTGTAGCAGCTGTATTCAGAAGAGCCCCGAAGTAGAAACAACCCAATGTCCTTTAAACTGTGGAGAGGATAAAGGAATTGTGGTCCAGCCCTATGGTGGAATATTACTCAGCTATAAAAAGGAATGAAGCACTGACACATGCTGCACGTGGACGGACCTTGAAAACCCTGTGCCGAGGGAAAGAGGCCAGACACAAAAGCCTGCAGGTTATGAGAGTTGGCTTCCATGAAAAGTCCAGAACAGGCCAATCCACGGAGGCAAAGAGGACTAGTGGTTGGTTGCCAGGGGCTGGTGGGGGGGGGTGAGTGGGGCTGAGATGAGGGCCAAGGGCCTTGCAGCTTCACTGGGGGTCACGAGGACAACTTGAGACTGTGGCGATGGCTGCACACAGCTGAGACTATGCGGAAGCCACGCAGTCGCACGCTTCCCAGGGATGAATCGCGTGGTATGACTCAGGCGTCAGCGCAGCTGGAGGGGCTTGGCTTTGGGTTTTGTGGGGCCCTCACACATCCCAGGAGAGCGCTGTACCTCTGAGCCCCACCCCCAGCCCAATGAAACTGTTCTGAAAAACACATGCCAATATGTGTATGTATGTACACGTATGTACATATACCCACATATGTACAAGAACATGTATGATGCAAATAAGATACGTGTGAACACAAATATGTGATTTTTTTCTAAGCATAGATGGCCTATATTTATATATTTATCACCTGCATAGACAGAATGTTTATCTACGCGGCTTTAAACATGTAATTGTACATATAGATTCAGAAGATGTTTCATATGTAAATATACAGGCCGTTTAAAGAAGGCGCTCATTTTACATATGCATAGATTTTACATATTTTGGGCCCCGGCCAGCGTGCCAAGCCCAGCCCGCCATTTGTGAGTGTGACCTTGCACACTTCACCTGAGCCCTCTGCCTGCTGCTCAGGGTCTCCATGGGAACTAAAGGATGGGCACAGAGGAGGCATCTGGGGCTGCTCCCTCCTGGCTTCCCCTTGGGTCACTCAGGGCTTGTCCTGAGCCAGGAGGGTAAGTGCCTGTCAGAAGGGAGGCCCAGGCCCTGATGCCAGGGTCCACAGGCCACGGTGTCTCCCTGAGCCTTGCTGTCCCCAGAGCCACTGTGGGTCCACAGCAGACTCTGTCCCTTCTGCAAGTGTGGGGTCCTCCTAGGGGCCTGCAGACCTGGGTGAAAGTGACCGGAGGGGACCCCCGAGCCCATGAGCCACACTCGAGGAGGATGAGTCAGCCCAGTTCTGGAAGTGCCAGGTCGGGGCTGGCGGCCTCCGTGGCATCGCGGGGTCTGCTCTTAGCCTGGAGCCGCCCACGTGCCCCGGAATTAGGATCAGTGCAAGCTCCCAGAATAGTGCAGTCGGTTGTCTGAGGACAGACTCCTCCCCCTCTTCCCTCCATGCTCTGGGAGGAGAGCTTCACCCACCCAGCTCAGATGGGCAGAGCAGGAAGGGCACTGAGGGAGAAATGGTAGTGCCCCTGGGGAAGCCCTGGGCCCACGGGCCAACCCAGCTCCTGTCCCCCGGGGTGGGGAGCTCAGAGCCGCTGCTTTGACGAACACAGCAGTGTGGAGCTCTGGCCCCTGCAAGGTGCACCAGGAGCCTCCCAGGGCCTGGCACGGGGTGGGCAGCCAGCAAGGGAGGGCTCCTGAGACCCCCAAGGCTGCCCTGGACCTCGCGGAGGCAGCATTTCTCTGAGAGCAGAGCGGGCAGGAGCAGAGTGGGTCACCGCCTGGCTGGGAGCCCAGGTCTACCGGCCCCCAGACAAGGCGAGTCCCTTCATTCCTCTAAGCTGGAAAACGGGCACAGGAGTCTCACAAGGGACGAAGCCAGGTTGGACATCTCAGCCAGAACCCAGGACGTGCACGCCACAGGGACCAGGGCTCAGGGTGGCCCAGCAGGTGCAGGAGCTGAGCTGGCTCAGGCTCCACCTCCCTGACCCGGGGAGAGAGGCCCACATCGTGGGAAGTCCAAGGGGAGAAGAGTTCGTCAGCCTCTGTAGGAGCCTCTGCCTCTTTCTAACTGGGCGACTCTGGGCAAGCTGCTTGCCCTCTCTGAGCTTCCATTTGCTGCTGTTCAATGGGGTGGCGATGAGGACCTTGCCAGATGGAGTCTTGGTGGGGTCAGCCTGACAAGTCCAGACTGCCCTCCTCCAGCTGTGGCTGTCCCACTTCATCCTCTGAATAGAGTTCCTCGTTTGACAGATGAGGAAACCCAAGCGCAGAGAGACTTACTAATTTACCCAAGGTCACACAGCATGGAATGGTGAAGCTGGATTTGAGCTCTGGTTGGGCCCAGGCCTCCCTCCCTTGCGCCAGGAACCCCTGGCTCAGCAGCTGGGCTTGCTCTCGTGGGCAGCTCAGAAACAGAGCCGGCCGCTGTCTCCAGGGCTGTACATCACCTCTTCTCCCTTTCTGCCCTCAGCTGTTCTGCTCTGTCAGGCAGTGGACCCAGGCCCACGAGTCTCCCCGCTCCCAGCTGTCCGTCTCCTCCTGCTGTTTTGCAGATGGGGGGCATACTCAGAACAGCCTCATGCTCAGTGCAAACCCCACGCTCCTTTCTGTGGCCCCTCTGCTCCAGCCGCACCGGCCTGGCCACCTCTGGAGTGCACCCCGTCTCCCTCAGGGGCCTTTAGGCTTGCTGTTCCCAGTGGTCTAACACCAGTCCACTCACGTGACAGTGATCGGGTGGCAGGGAGTCACTGGCACCTGGCAGGCAGCCTGGGCCCTTCTTCGGGGCCCTCCCCAGCCCCCTGCACAGCCCGCCTTCCGCCTGCTCACTCCTTGACCTGCCCGTCCACCGCCCACCCCCCCAGCCAGCTAGCGGGTGGTGTGGGGAGGCCCGGAGGCCCCAGCCTTTCCACCAAACCACCTCACACTCGGGCTCCCTGCTCCGCACAAAAATGCCAGCCGGCCACCTAGGCAAGGGCATCAGCTGGCCACGGCCCAAACAGCCCCAGGAAAGGTGTCCAGCGAGGGAGGAGGCCCCGCGCTCAGCGCCCGCGGCGCCTTCAAGAGCTGCCCTGACTCACTTCCCGTGGCCACGAGGCTCTCCAGGGCGCTCAGCCTGCAGCCCCGGACAAC